AGGGAGAGGAAGTGGTTGGGGGGCGAAGAGAGTAAGTTTGTGGGGGAGAGGAAGTGGATGAGAAGTGAAGAAGAGCTGGTGGGGGGCAGGGAGAGGAAGTGGGTGGGAAGGAGAGAGGAGCTGGTGGGGGTGGGGAGAGGAAGTGTGTGGGAGGTAGAGAAGAGCTGGTGAAGGGCAAGGAGAGGAAGTGGGTGGGGATGGAGAGAGGAAGTCTGTGGGCAGCTGGGAGGGGAAATGGGTGGGGGGATAGAGAAAGGAAGTGGGTGGGAGGTGGAGAAGATCTGGTGAGGGGCAGGGAGAAGAAGGGGGTGGGGTGGAGAGAGGAAGTAGGTGGAGGGGAAGAGGAAGTGGATGGGAGGTAGAGAGGAGCTGGTAGAGGACTGAGAGAGGAAGTGGATAAGAGGTGGAGAGGAACTAATGGGGCGCAGAGAGAGAAATTGAGGGGATGAAGAGAGGAAGTGGGTGGGATAGAGAGAGGAACTGGTGGGGGACAGGAAGAGGAAATGGGTGGGGGATGGAGAGATAAATTTGTTGGTGCTCGAGAAGTTATTGGTAGTGGAGACAGGAAGTTGGTTGCATTTGGGACAGGAAGTTGGTGGGAGGTGGGAAAAGGACCTCCAACAATTCTGCTCCCACCGGAATAATGCTTTTGGTTTCAGTTTTTGGTTTTTGAAGGTATTTGTTTTCACTGGTGTGAATAGGAGGTGGAGAGCTTATTCAAACTGTATTTTGGGTTTTTTTTTTTAAGTCACGTCTTTGTTTTTATGAGTTAACATTTGACTACTTACAAAGTACTCTTTTGGTATTGTTGTACTTTGCGCTCAATTTCAATAGATGGTTCAGTTTTCCCAAAGAGAAGACTGCACAGTGCCCTTGGGTGAATGTGTATATACACACCCGACTATGTTGCGGATTACTCTCCCAAAACTGCTCCAGGAGGACATCAATGGTGTCTCTCAGGGCAGGTCCTCTTTTTTTTGGACACGACTGCTGATAGAGGCCTTGAAGCCCCCGGGCTGTGGGGTTCCTGGGATCTAGAGACCTGTCTGGGGAGCAGGAGAAGGGTAGAGGGAGGAAGAATTTCACCCACGTATCAGGGAAGTAGATGCCTGTCTGTGTGTGCTTAAGGATGGGGACCCCAGCCCAAAGACTCTGCCTGTACTGTACTCCCATGTGGCAGCTCTCCCTAACCTGCCAAGTTCCACCTTCTACTCCAGGAAGCTTCTCCTGGTTACTCCGGAGCCATCCTGATTTGGGCATGTGTCCTAAGGTGTCTTTTTTCCCTTTCTGTTCAAAGTTCTCTCCGTTCAATTATTATATCCAACCCCTCAGAAATACAGGCAATTATCAGGGAATACTATGAAAAATTATATGCCAACAATTTGGACGACTTAGAAGAAATGGACAAATTCCTAAACACACACCCACTACCAAAATTCACACGGGAAGGGATAGGAAATCTGAACAGACCCATAACTAGTGAGGAAATCGAATCAGTGATCAAAAATCTCCCAACAAATGAGAGTCCAGGATGAGATGGCTTCCCCGGGGAATTCTACCAGACGTTTAAAACAGAACTAATACCAATTCTTCTCAAGCTATTCCAAAAAATAGACGAAGGAAAACTCCCAGACTCATTTTATGAAGCCAGCATCACTCTGATTCCCAAGCCAGACAGAGATCCAGCTAAAAAAGAGAACTACAGGCCGATATCCTTGATGAATACGGATACAAAAATCCTCAACAAGATACTTGCAAATCGAATCCAACAGCACATAAAAAGAATTATCCACCAAGATCAAGTGGGATTCATTCCTGGGTTACAGGACTGGTTCAACATTGGCAAATCATTCAATGTGATCCATCACATCAACAAAAGAAAAGATAAAAACCATATGATCCTGTCGATAGATGCAGAAAAAACATTTGACAAAATACAGCATCCCTTCTTAATAAAGACCCTCGAGAATGTTGGGATAGAAGGAACTTACTTATTTTTTTTAAATGATTTTTTTATTTATTTCTAGGAGAGAGAGAGAGACAGCGTGAGCAGGGGAGGGTCAGAGAGAGAGAGAGGCACAGACTGAAACAGGTTCCAGGCTCTGAGCTGGCAGTCAGCACAGAGCCCGACGCGGGGCTCGAACCCACGAACCGCG